TTCGAGGGGTTATTGAAGATGCTGATTCCATGTCTGAAATTTTTAAGAAGTGACTGCATTTCAGCTCTCGGTGGGCTGATTTGGATCAATGAATCGGTTCATTTTGTGTTGATTTTCAGGTTATTTATATGCTTAATACACTAGACCTGCATTTTGAAAGCAAGAAATATTAATGTCATTGGTGTTTGGATGCAATATTTCTTCAAATTTCTTCAGTTCTGCTGGCATTGTTTTTGCTCTGCAGCATTTTGTCATTGACCTGTGTCTTTCCCACTGCGGTTATGTATTTAGCATAAAAATGACCTTAAAACTAAAGAAAGATTTGTCAAAATCAGCCCACTAGGAGTTGAAATATAGTTACTTGTAGTTTAAATAGCTACTTTGTACTGTGAAAATGTTACCAGAGGTAGGTTAACCCTGATAATAAAGGGGATATTGCAATATTGAAGTTAATGTGCAGTCAGGCTTTAGCTACGTTAACATTATGAAATAAGCTTTATTACAAAGTAATGGTTATCCACCCTAAATGCTTTAGTGTTTTATCTGTACTGAAGATAGCATGGATATATTAGACTGTATTCACATCAAATCAAACATTGCAGTGAAAATGCCGTAGTGCATTTAGGCTGCAGTGGTGGGGACCACATGGGATACAAAAAGGAAAATTGCAGTGGCCCTGTGGCCAAAAGTTGAGACAGAATCAACTTTTGGAGAAAATTAACCTGACGTCACACTGCAGTGGTCACATGAGATAAAGTGTATAAAGAGAGGAAGCTGTGGTAGCAAATCAGCCGTTGAGTCAGAGAAATAAACATTTATTTTCTAAAACAACATGCCCATGCCCCCACACACGTGCAGAGATCTGTGTAGGAAGTGCCGCAACGTATGATTTGGTCTGAATATGGCCTTTAGGGGAAACCCATTTCTTGACTGGCCAGCTTCTCTCTTCATGGGTTTGTCTTTGACATAATTGATTAATTACAAAGTAACACAACTGACATGATTCCTCTTCAGCATCCCTACAGTTAATACGTAGAGTATACTAAAATGTTTGATGGCCAACTGTACGTTTCACTCTTCTAATCACCTTTTCCATCCATCCATCCATCCATGTCAAACATTAGGCCTATGCATATCCAAATATCTACTGCATGGTCGGTCAAACATGTGTACACTCATGTTTTGCAATTTACCAACTATACAATGTAGATCATATCTTTAATTTTATAATATGATGATTGTTTCATTAAATGCTGATAACTTTTCTTTTTTTTCACACACATCCCCAACCTTGGTGTAGTGCATTTATCAAGGGCTCATAAATGGATCCAAACATTCACCGATATTCATCCATCAAATTAATTTATCCGAGTCTCCAATGTGGTTGGGCAATACATGAAAACATTAATCTCACAGTGAGGATGTCTAATAATAATTTCCAAAACAATTGCAATGGGAAATGTATCTTTACTGGTTTTACGTGTCAGTACATGTACACTCCAACTAGTTGTGATGTTACAGACTCATGCTACACATATTAAATTCAAACAGAAGAAAAACATTTCACAGTGGAGATGTGACGTCCATCTTTTACACGTTGAAGATCTGCCACTGTAGCAACAAGAACTACAATACAGGGAAAGATGCACAAGATAAAAAAACACACATACATAATGGAAACATATAAATACAGGAAAGGCAAAGGTAAACACAAGAAGTACAAAAGTTACAATACAAGTGAAAAACAAATGTGGTGATGTGCTGATACTACCCGTACTTTACTTTAATGGTAGAGGGTATAAAAGACAATTTGTTTCTCTTAGTTTTGGCTAGCACAGTTGTCTGAGGCAGCCTGCAAATGGTGGATACTGTTTGTACAGTTCAGATACACTCGTATCTACTACCTTTCAGGAATAACAGTGTTATGCATAATGACATCCCCTTAGCTCCAACTCCAAAATGATTCAATGAACTCCTCCCACACTGTGCAGTCGAGACAACCTTGCAGTGCCAGTGTAGCCTCCTCCTCCAGAGTTTCACCTTTCTGGTGAGAACTTTACCCCTCTGTAGGCATGAGCGATACACTGGAATAAGATATGTGTGATCCACAGTACTTAATCCAGAGACTAGTATGAAGGCTGCTGAGCCCGGTTCTGTTGCATGCTAATGGCAGCTACAGCAGCAGTTAGTGGAGTTGAGGCAGAGCAGTCAGAGGACATAAGAGGAAAACGTATAAATTATTTTCTTCATAAAATATGATCCAGTTTCAGACCAATCACTGATTGAGAGTCTGGTTTTTCGTGAGGCCTGGCCATGAAAGCCATGCTGTTTGTTTTACAGGAAAAATGGATTGGATTTTAGAAATGTAAAGATTTATCACAAGACATCAGTGAGATTAAAACTGAATCCTGAGGTACTTTTACAAAGAAAAGGAAATATTAATTGTTTTTCAGTTCATACCCTACCTTTGAAATGAAAAGGGAATGATTTAAGTGTATCATTTCATCCCTATTGGCTTCCGAAAATACAGAAGAAATTGAGGTTTTGTCATTTTTTGGCATAAATTCTTAAATAGGGGTGCACTATAGGGATGCAACCTGAAAGGGTTAAAATTACATTTTTAATTTCATGTGGCCTAAATAAACAACATCATAATCATCATCTTTATCTCTAACTGCTCTGTTCCACTGTCACACAGATCTTTAGTGTAATATCTTCAGTTCATCCCCAGTGTTAATGTATGGAAACATCCTTTCAGTGAAAGTGTGTAAGTGTGTGTTAGTATTAAGATCAGAGAACGACAGCTCTCCTCTGTTCCAGTCCAGATTCATTCTGATCCTCTTCAGCTTCTGCCGCACCCCAAGATCTGTAGGTGAACCTGTTGGTGGCCATGCTGAGTACTGACCGTTATATAACCCTATTCTCCATAATCCAGACTGCATGTCTCCCTTCCTCTGGACAGACTCTGCTAACACACCCAGTAACCAGATTGTACTGTCTGCAACCTCGACATCCCAGCTGTGAGTCCCTGAGTTAAAGCCCTCAGAGCCCAGAACAATGGGATAAGAATCAAACCTCTCTGGATTATCAGAAAGCTGCTGTTCCTCTCCTCGTCTCACACTGGTCAGATCTTCAGACAGACTGAGTCTTGGATAAACAGTGTTTGGGTCCAGAATCAAAGGACTGTAGGAGACCATGTCCTCCGTGTGTCTCTCTTTCATGAGGAAGACTAACCTATCGTTTCCTGATTTGTCTCAGGTGAGTCAGGTGAGTCAGGTGGGAAGTGGAGTTGTTTTTACATGTAAGATGAGTGTGTTTCATACCAAGGGGAGGACCACCCGTTCTTGCAGCAAACTGGGTTTGACATGCTGGAGCGGGAGCTGTCCGGGATACGGCAAAGTATTAATGCCCATCTTGACCGGGTGGCGATGTTGCTGCTGCCTCTCAGGCGCATCCCCTCAAGTCTGCGCCCTTAAAACAGCATCTGAATAAGCGCCACTGACTTTAGACTAGGTTTTTTCCTGGTCTGTGGCGGAATTGTTTTCTGAAACAGCAAAATAGCACCGGGTAACGTTTGCGGTGGAACATGCCTCCTCTTTTCGCTGAACCGCCCCCCGGAGCGCAAGTTCATTCTCTAATTTAAGGACATGCGTCGGTGGAGGGAAAATTCCAATGTGCATCGAGAGCAAAATAGGAATTATAGAAGTGTCAGTTTACAAAGTCAATTGCACTGAGTGCAAGATAGAGCCCTTAGTGTGTTGGTGGTGAAATATTGAAACTGAAATGACAAGTGAGTCAGAAACTGGAAAGTACCTAAAAACCACAGGATGATCTGATGTATGGCAACGTGCCAAGGCTCAGGCCATGGAAGGTGCAGTCATATCAAGAATCCAATAGGTACTTTAAAAGTGTTTTGGTGAATTGTTGGCAAGAGTTCCTTTTTGTTCCAACATGTGGTGAAAATGTCATGTCTATGAAAAATTTAAGAGGAAATTGAAACAAGACAGCAGTGTGCAAGAATTTTTTTTTTTTTTCATTATAATATTTAAATGGGTACCATGGAACAAAAGAGCCAACATGGACTTTTGTAGGAAAGGGGGGCTGTAGACTGTTCTAAGAAAGGGAATATTGAAAGTGGGGGCTCCCCTGTAGAATTGTTAATGGTACAAGTAGTTTTATTAAGGAAACAGTTTATTACAGTAACTTAACTAGTTTAACAATGACAAATAAAGCGTAATATTGCGATACTGAAGTTAACGTGGAGTCAGGCTTTGGTTACGTTACCTTTATACAACGTTAAGCTTTATGACGAGGTAATGGTTATCCAAATTTTGGAGAAACTCAACAGACAAGATAGAGAGTGAATAAAGAAAGAGAGCTGTGGTATCGAACAAGCCGCTGAGTTAGAGAAATAAAAGGCTATTTTCTGAATAAACGTGCCCATGCCCCCACACACCTCCACACAACCTCGTAGGAAATGCCATAACACATGATTTCGTGTGAATATGGCCTTAAGGAGAAACCCACTTCCCGACTGGCCCGCCTCTCTCTTGTCTTTGATGTTCATGATTAATAATTAAGTAACATGATCAACATGATTGCTGTTAACCATCCCATTTTCCAAACATTTAATATGCACAGTATACTTTCAATGTATGTTTCACTTTTAAAAATCACTTTATCCATTTAATAGTGCCTTACTAATCCCAGACAGCCGTATCAAACATAAGGCCTATTGCATGTCCAAATATCTATTGCATAGTCAGTCACATATGTATATTCATGTTTCTATACGCAATTTATAAACCTTACAATATAGGTCACTTCTATAATGTTATAATTAATCAGTCCTTGTCCCAACAGGTTTCCCAATATTGTCACTCTTATTGTTTCATTAAATGCTGATTACTTTTCTATTTTTTAACAAACATCCCCAACCTTGGTGTTGTGCAGTTATCAAGGGCTCATCCATGGATTCATACATTCACCCATATTCCAGCTGTGTGGCATCCATCAAATTTATTTAACTGAGTCTCCAATGTGGCTGGGCAATACATGAAAACATTAATCTCACAGTGAGTATGTGTGATCATAATTTCCAAAACAAATACAAAACAAGTACAACAGGTAATTTATCTTTACTGGTTTTACTAGTCAGTACATGTTCACTCCAACTAGTTGTGATACATACTCATAGCTACACATATTCAATTCAAACAGAAGAAAAAACTTTCCTCCTTCAGTGGATGAAAATAAAAACATCCTGTCAGACACATCATTCTGCTCAACAGATGCTGATGTAAATATTACATAACATATATATGTATATATTTTGTTTTTTATATGCATTATTTGCCATTTCTTTAACAAAACTGCATATCATAATATTGTACCATCTTCGTCTAATACATTAAGGTCAACCTGTTGTCAGGAGTAACAATGTCCATGCAGGATTTTATCAATGAGCTCAAACTCTAAGTCTGAGGATGATTCAGTATTTTCACACAGTACTTTCAATCACTCTCATTTGGTAAAACTAAATCAGCAGAAAGTCATATTGTGAACCCAGTTCATTTCATGTGGACTAAATAAACATCAAATATAATGATCCTCTTTATCTCTAACCACTCTGTCCCACTGTCACACAGACCTTCAGTGGTGATATCTTCAGTTGGAGTTTATCCACAGTGAAAATGTATGGAAATAGCCTCTCAGTGAAAGTGTGCATAAAGGTGTGTATTTGTGAGTTAGTGTCAAGATCAGAGAATGACAGCATTCCTCTGTTGCAGTCAAGATCCACTCTGATCCTCCGGAGCTTCTGCCACACTAAGAGATCAGTTGGTGGAGCTGATGGTGAGCCTGCTGAATATTTACCACCATAGAACCGAATTCTCCATAATCCAGACTGTATACGTCCCTTCCTCTGGACAGACTCTGCTAACACACCCAGACACCAGCCTGTACTGTCTCCAACCTCAACATCCCAGCTGTGAGTCCCTGAGTTAAAGCCCTCAGAGCCCAGAACAGAGTAGTAAGAATCAAACCTCTCTGGATTATCAGGAAGCTGCTGTTCCTCTCCTACTCTCACACAGGTCAGATCTTCAGACAGGCTGAGTCTTGGATAAACAGTGTTTGGGTCCAGAATCAAAGGACTGTAGGAGACCATGTCCTTCATCTTGTTCCAGATGTTGAAGGTCAGGTTGCCCAGGTGTTTGGCCTCGTCTATCAGATCTCCGGGGAGCAGCTGTGGATCCTCCAGCAGGGGGCGCTGCTGGACTCTTTCCACTGGAGCCTTGTAGTTGATCAGAAACATGGCGTCTTCAGCTTTCAGCAACTCCTCTGTGGCTCTGACTGTGTCAGAAAGAGCTGCTATCTCTCTGCTCAGAGGCTCCATCTTCTCCTTCATCATCCGACTCTTCTGCTCATCTTCCTTCCTGAGTGCATCCAACCTGGCCCCTTCTTCCCGTTCTAGAAACTGGTGAAACTTCTTAAACTGCTCTTTAATCTGCCTCTCTGTGCGTCGGGCCTGGACCTTAATGTGTTCTGCTGTTTTATCAAATTTTCCTTTAACTTGTTTCAAAATCTTTAACATCTCCTTTAAGGGCTCCAGAGTTTCCTGAAGTTCCTTCTTGGGTTGTTGTGCAACTTCATCGATGGGTCTGAATCTGTGGTTGGAGTGTTTTTCTGAGTCTCTGCAGATGAGACACACTGGCTGCTGATGGTCCAGACAGAAGAGTTTGAGTCTCTCAGAGTGCAGACTGCAGAGAGCCTCTGAAGATCTCTGTTCTCTTTCCAACGAGAAGGCCTCACACAGATTCTTTAACACCAGACTAACAGGAGGTTCAGACATTGATGATACTCTCTTACAAATTGGACACTCACGTGATGGTTTCACTCTCCACCATGTCTTCAGACAGTCTTTACAGAAGCTGTGGCTACATGACAGAACAACAGGGTTTCTAAAGATGTCACAACAGACCGGACAGCTGAAATCCTTCTCTGATCTGGAAGCCATTTAGTCACTGAGTGAAGCTGAAACAACAACAGACAGAAAGTACAGTGAGTCCGGGCTCCTCCTCTTCTTACTTCACTTTACTTTCACTTTGAGTTCTGTTTTAGTAAAACTCACATGCAGTGGAGCGTCTGCAGGTTGAAGCAGCAGTGTTGTAGTTTTCCACTTTACTCCCCTGAAGCTGAACTCACTCAGAGGAAGTTGTTAGTTTGGTCTGTAATTGAATCTGATCGTCTGTTTTTGAGTCTGTTGTCTCTCGTTAATGAGGAAGAACAACAAAGTGTTTCCTGGTCTGTCTCAGATGAGTCAGCTGAGAGGTGGAGCTTTGTCAGACCTCCTCTGTTAAATGCTGTTGCTTCTCATGTAACACAGGATTGTGTTTCCTTCCTAAGTATACACTCTCAATACAAATACACTATAACCATTTTCATGTTCTTACCAAGCAGACACATGTAGTGTTTTCTACACAGGATGGGCTTATTTTTAACTACTTCCTGCAAGCTTTTGTTTTGATAGTGCCTTTGGATGGGGGTCTTTTATTTCAGCACCATTCCAGCAGAAAAGGGATGTCGCCTGTATAAGACCGTGAACTGACACTATTCCAGGAACTAAAGTTATGCTCCTTTGCTGTTGTATGACAAAATGTAACAGTTATGTTAACTTGAATGCATACGCCTAAGTTTCTCGGTTTGTATACAGTAAGGGCTCAGGTATGTCTTCTATCTGTCCTATAGCTAATGTCTGTATGGTTGTAAGGGCTCATTTATGTCATCTGTCTCTACTCTCTGCTCTCTCAGTGTTTCAAGAAGAAAGGTGTAAAGGAGGGTAAAGTAAATAGATGTTTAATTCAATTGAAGTGTCTTAAACCTGCATTCTATGTAAAAGCCAGCAGGGGGAGCTCCACTGGCTGCATTAAAAACCGATATAATGCACTCTTATGTAGAAATGAGCCGACTTCCTAATTTATTTATGAGCTCAATAAAAAGTTTCCTGATGAGTTTATGGTCACAGTCTCTACTTTCAGTCTTTTTCCAAACAGCATGATGTTCATTAAGTAAATGATGGTCCGATTTAGAGTGAAATAGACCATAAAGCAGGGTATGCTTTAGGGCGGGGCTATCTTGTGATTGACAGCTCATTCTCAGTGAGTCCTTCCAGCCCAACACCAAACTGTCAAACTAGGCAGTGCTGATTGAATATGGATCCAGATTCTGCTACTGTGTTGACTATTGTTCTACTCAAATAGATTTAGACACATATTTAGTGTACTGTTTAGATGTAATATGAGATTGTGTCACCAGGCGAGCCCCCATTGTTTCCTGCTAAGGACAACGCGCATTACGTCACATTAACATATCCAGTGACGCCACAATAGGTTCACCCTTGGCTGCATGAGACTGCTTTGGCCCTGCAGAATCTGGCAACATGTCTGTTGTCCTAGGCATACAAAGCAAAACACTTCCCCATTCAACCTTTCCTTTCATATGCTCACTGGGTTATCTGTACACACTTCAGATTTATGACTTATGCTATGACAGAATAAACAGCCTCAGGGAGAGATTTTAAAATTATTTTAAAAATTTAATTCACAAAATCATGACGTGACTCAAAACAAACAAGTCAATAATTACACACACAAGAAAAAAACAACAACAAAAACAGTCACAACACTATCGCACCAACCCAAAATACAAAATCAAACCCACACAATCAGAACATATCTCCCATACAGCCCAACAAACTTAAGCAAGCAACATCAATGAATTCATCTAAAAATAAGATAAACAATATAAAACAATCATAAAGAGAGGTATTTTTTCTTACTTACAGATTAACTAATATTTTTAAATGGAAAAGCATTTATGGAATCTTAAGATAAATAAAGGAATGGATATATTATACTTGATGTCCCCGTGCCTCTGTTTGGTGTTCTGAATTTCCCACTCCCTGGATTTGAGATTTTGATAATAGTATTTTAAGTATTTTAATATATATTCCTTGTCATTTTAGGAAGATAATTTAACAATAAAAGAAAAACAATTTGCTTTCACCTCATCACCAGTCTCATCTGACCACAGTTTTAATTTGTATGTCTTAATCTGTACTGCAAGCATCTGCAAAGGCATCACTTCATTACACTTGTCTTCTTTGGCATTTTTGAAAGGTGCTGTGAGTCAGAAGGCAGAGGAGAGTTCAATCAGGAATCTTCATTCATCCTTAATTAAAATGTCTCCTGAAGTAGTATTATGTAAAAAGTGGCTTTGCCGCCTGCTGACACAGCTTGCAGAGCTTTGAGGTGTCCTTACACTTCAAGATAGCCAGCGGAGCAGAAGCACCACAGGCATCTGGCCCCTTACTAGAAGCTCGAAAAAATGCCATCACTGATAAGAGAGCAAGATTTATATGCAAGGATATGCGTCCCATTGGTGTAGTAAGAGCAAATATCTTATATAGTATAGTTTAGTTGAGTGAGTGGTGTCATACATTTGAACTTTGTGTCTATAAATTAATTGCGTGTCATTTGAAATTAGTTTGAGTTTTGCCTTCCAGGTCATGGAGGGCATATGAGTAAAACTAAGTGAGAGGCTTTATTATTGCATGTTAATATTGAAAATAGCAAACATACAAATACATTTATTGAGCCCAAAAGACTTTTTTTTTTCCTTTTGCTCAAACAAAATATTTGTTTCCTTGTGTATAATTCCTCTTCAAAATATAATTAATGTGATAAAATTATATTTTTCTGTGCCTCAAATCAGCCATTTCTGATCAATCACACATTTATTATAAACTGATTATCTTTTTATTAATTGGATCCATCATCTTTCATAAAGTGGTTATGGTCTACATGGCTCCACGCACAAGTCTAAATCTTTAAAAATTGATTTAAAATGACACAGTATCCATATAAAATAAAAGGTTAAACAAAACAAACATAGAAACTAGAAACTAAGCGAAATAACTTTACCTTTGAAAAGGTCGGTGATAGAAAAAAAAAAGGAAATTGTCAAACTAAACAAAAAGAAACAATAACTAAAACAAAAAGAAACATATCTTTAGAATAATGAGGCAGGAGGAGGAGCAGGTGCAGTTTAACAGATTACATTCAGTGACTTTTACCTTTAAGAAAAAAAAACATCATACTGTAACCATCCTCCTTATATCTAACAGACCTTTAGTGGTAATATCTTCAGTGAGAGTTTATCCACAGTTTCAATGAATGGAAACATCCTCTCAGTGAAAGTGTGTGTGAAGGTGTGTATGTGTGTGTTAGTATCAGGATCAGAGAACAACAGCTTTCCTCTGTTCCAGTCCAGATCCACTCTGATCCTCCGGAGCTTCTTCTCAACTACGAGATCAGTGAGTGGAGCTGGGGGTGAGAATGTTGAATATTTACCTTCATAGAACCGTATTACCCATAATCCGGTTAATATATGTCCCTTCCTCTGGACAGACTCTGCTGACACACCCAGTAACCAGAATGTACTGTCTCCAACCTCAACATCCCAGCTGTGAGTCCCTGAGTTAAACCCCTCAGAGCCCAGAACAGAGTAGTAAGAATCAAACCTCTCTGGATTATCAGGAAGCTGCAGTTTCTCTCCTCTCCTCACAGAGGTCAGATCTTTAGACAGGATGATGTTTGGATTAGCAGTGTTTGGATCCAGAATCACAGGACTGTAGGAGACCATGTCCTTCATCTTGTTCCAGATGTTGAAGGTCAGGTTGCCCAGGTGTTTGGCCTCGTCTATCAGAGCTCCTGAGGGCAGCTGTGGATCCTCCAGCACGGTGCGTCGCTGGACTCTTTCCACTGCAGCCTTGTAGTTGTTCAGGAATGAGACATCTTCAGCTCTCAGCTCCTCCTCTGTGGCTCTGACTGTGTCTGAAAGAGCTCTTATCTCTCTGCTCAGAGCCTCCATCTTCTCCTTCATCATCTGACTCTTCTGATCCTCTTCCTCCCTCAGTGCAGCCAGCCTAGCCTCCTCTTCCTGTTCTAGAAACTGGTGAAGCTTCTTAAACTGCTTCTTAATCTGCCTCTCTGTCTGTTGGGCCTGGCCCTTAATGTGTTCTGCTGTTTGAGCAAATTTCCTTTTAACTTGTTCGTAAACCTTTAACTTCTTTTTTAAGGGCTCCAGAGTTTCCTGAAGTTTCTTTTTGGGTTGTTGTGCAGCTTCATCGATGGGTTTGAATCTGTGGTTGGTATGTTTTTCTGAATCTCTGCAGATGAGACACACTGGCTGCTGATGGTCCAGACAGAAGAGTTTGAGTTTCTCAAAGTGCAGACTGCAGAGAGCCTCTGAAGATCTCTGATCTCTCTCCTGTACGAAGGCCTCACACAGGTTCTTTAATACCAGACTAACAGGAGGTTTTGCCTTTGAAGATCTTCTCTTACAAATTGGACACTCACGTGCTTCTTTCTCTCTCCACCATTTCTTCAGACAGTCTTTACAGAAGCTGTGGCTACATGGCAGAACAATCGGATCTCTAAAGATGTCATGACAGACTGGACAGCTGAGATCCTTCTCTGATCTGGAAGCCATTTTTTTTAAGCTGAAATCACAGCAAACAGAAGAACAGAAATTAGATAAGGCTCCCCTTCCTCCTCTATCAACTTCACTGAAACTTACTTTTACTTTGATTTCTTCCTTTAGTCAAACTCACATTCAGTGTGTGCAGTGTCAGCAGGTTCAAGCAGCAGTTTTCGTAGCTGAACTCAGTCAGAGCTGGAAGTTGTTTAGTCTGAAGGTGAATCTTTCTCAACAGACTGTTTCCTGGTGTGTCTCAGGTAAGTCAGGTGAGGGGTGGAGCTTTGTCAGACCTCCTCTGCTAAATGCTGTTGCTTCTTGTTTAAAACAGGGGAGTCCAAAGTTTTGATTTATTACTGGACATTGCACACTGATAGTGTGTAACTGGCTGTTGCGATAGTGCTGGTTTCACAAGTAGTTTGAATGTGTTGGAAGAGTTAAACCATGACTTCCTGGAAATATTCGGGTATGGGGACCATAGAACATCAAGTGAGAGGGATGCAAGTGCAATATTGTTGTAGAGGAGTAGTATGAACTGTAGTAAAAAAAAAATAAAGAAAAAAATAAGGAAAAAGAAGGGGTACTGGAATGGGTACCATGGAAAAGAAAAGGCGGTACCATGGAATGGTGTAGGTAGTGGGTAACATAGCATATTATATGAAATGGGTGCCCTGGAATATTAGAAGGAAAGTGTAAATCACAGTGGGAAGCTCAGAGACAGCTCAGAAAGTTATTATACAATCTATAGTTACAGAGCATCTTTGGCCAGTGCAACATCTGTGTGGACACTCTTGTGAAAAGGGAACACAACACTTTTTGTTGCTTTCTTAGACTCATGCAAACAACAGGAGGACGTGACATTCAGTTGTTTGAGCTGGACGAATCTCAATGTGGCCAAAGGACATATTAATAGTAGGTGTAAATGTAATCAGGTAACAATCATATCATAGATACAGTCTGGATACAAGACACACTTTAATGGGTGTAAAGAGAATCTGTTTAGGAGGGATTATAATCTTTTAAAACACGTGCTCCTCTTTCATGTGTGAGTAGTGTAAATGGTGTATTTTGAAGGTGTCAGTGGTGGGGGATTGTACTGTACTCATATCTACTTGTATACATATCTTACTGTTTGACTAACTTAAGAACTAACTGTATAGGCAACATACAGGGCTGTTCATGAAGAAAGAAAACCTATGAAAAATTACACTGTAACAACGCTTATAATTAAAAATCCAGCATTGGAACAGAGCAGTTCTTAACTCCATGTAGTGTGCAGTTCAGACATACTGTAATCAGGGATGGGTAGTATTTACAAGTTCCAAGGTTCATTTATTCATCACTTTACAACATAGGGTTGTATTACAAAATGCCACAAAGAAATTATTTGAATGGACGAGTCATAAAAATAAAACAGTGAAGTTTGGAGGGTCAATTGAGCAATCTCACAGCAAGAAGCTGCTCTGTAGTCTGGTGATATGGCAACAGATACTTCTGTATCGGTTTCCAGACGGCAGCAGTGCGAACAGTTTATTCTTTGGGCTCTGCATCAGCACCTCACAAATAACTGTAGATGGGTACTAATGATGTTCTGGGTGGTTTTAATCATCTGTGATGAAATGTTATCTGCTGATTCCCAGCAACCTAAAACAATTCACCGCAACCCCACTCATGTAAACAGTGGTGTGTGTCCTTTGGTCATGTTTTGGTTGAGCAGTAGGTTTTCTGAGCACCACTCTGCAAGTTTGTTGATTTCTTCCCAATATTCTCTTTGCCGATGTTGTTGAAATCCAGCCGATGATGGCGGTGTCTCCATTCCATGGGATGCAATGGGTGTACAGCATGCACAGGAGGGGGCACGGCACAAAGCCCTGAGAGGAACTAGAGTGGAAGAGTTGATATCTCAAGTCCAATCAGGTCTGTGCAGTTGTATTGAATGCTGAGCTGAAATCCACAAAAATCATAGGTGTTGTTGATCTGCTGGCTCTGAATTCAAGGGTTCAAGCTGCTTGGGATGTTGTCTTTGATGTGGTAAAGAACCAGTTTCTCAAGTGCCACACGGCGGTAGTCCTTTAGACACTGCACAGGATCGATGGTGGCTGTGACAGTGACATGTTAGAAATGTCAGTAATGACATCAGCTAGCCGAGTGGCACATGCTTTTTGGAGGGTTTTTATTGCCTTTAATTGATAGTGACAGCTGAAGAGTGACAGGAAAGGGGGGGGGGTCAGATTCCAACCCTGGGCCACTGCAGCAAGCACTCAGCCTTGGTACATGGGGTGCCAGCTCTACCAGGTCAGCTATCCGTCATCAGGCCCAGCAGCTTTCTATATCAATCACATCTGTATATAAAAAGCTGTATTAGTGTACACATAACTTTTATTCTATTTTTTCTAGGCCCACTATATCTTGTATTTTTCTATTTTTATTTTCTATTTTTTATTGAATCTGTATTTTCTTATCTATTGTCTTCTATCTGAAGCTGCTGTAGCAAGTGAATTTCTTATCTTATCTCTTGACTCATATTCACTCTCAGCAGGATTTTTCCTACGTCCTCTGTGGATACCGACAGTGGGCGATCCTCTGTCGACTTTACAGCTGACAAAGAGATCAAAGTGAGCATAAAATGTGTTTAGCTCACCTGGAAGTGTCCCACATGATTAAGGTCTCTCCTGGTGCCGCCGCTTTGCCTCGTTGATGCCAGCTTTCAGTCTCGCTCTGGCGATGCTGTAAGCTTCCTTGTCATCTGACCAAAAGGCAGTATTTTGTTTTAGCTCTGGATATTTGTTCCTCTGGTTGGGATGTGGATATGCTGGTGGAATTTAGGTAAAGCAGTTCTGAGATCATCTGATTACAATCACCAGATACTGGTTGTTTTTATTTGTGGAGGAATGTAAACAGCAGCAACAAAAACACTGATGAATCCTCTGGTCAGATAATATGGTTGACATCTTAACATACAACTAACTTCAACTTGTTGCTCAGAAGCCTAGTAGTATGTTAATCAAAGCGTTAGCCACCCATGTAAATTCACATACTGATGTAAAACCACATCTTGCAATGTATTTTATAAATAAAATAAACAAATGACATACCTACCTAGAGGGAAGAGAGCAAGTTCAAGACTGGTTTTAAATCCCTTTAAATGCTGCATTTCTCTCCATCCATTGAATGACCGACCAAGGTTGACTGTCCATGCTCTCATCCTAATATGGTCCCTTCTGACTCTGTAACACATAATGGCCAAATGTCAAACTCAAGGCTTCAGTTCAAGGTTTACACTAAGTAACAACATGACCTTTTCTCTAGCACCACCCTCTGGTCAAACTTAGGAATGTTTTCCCCCATTAAGCCACTAAGAATAGTTGTCTCTCGACCTTCCATAGATTCAGCAATTACAGTTTTCATACAATGTTTTTGTAGCTGTAAACTTTAAACTCAATTTAAAGTCAAAGACAGTTGAGTTGTGTTTTAGCTATAATTATCTGCATTTAAAGTAAGTCTGGCACACTGAAATTACAACTACAAATTGCAATGTCTGAGAGGAAAACAACAGTATACTCTGTTAATGCAGCATAGATGTCTCATACTGGGGTGTATTTTACAATTAAAGCAAACATAAAGCTGTTACTGAGCCTCGTCTGTGCTGCAGCTCCTTGGCCAGTCACCGTTACTCACATCTTTTAGCTGTTTAATCGAATCGACTGGATCAGGTTGGTTTTATGTGTGATCCATGACAGCCTCATATTATCCAATCACTTCCGATCATCCATCATGCCCTCGTATTGAGCTGCGCAGTGAGAGACCGATCGGGAGAAAAAAGAAGGAAAGTTAAGAGAGACAGAGAGGGAAAGAGAAACACTGTACCAGAACACCGGCTCTTGTTACAAACCACCAGAGACCCTCCTCGACTGCCAAAATCTCCAAATTTGAACCCAAGCGTTCTGGCTGCTAATTATTCCTAGAGCTTAGTCTAAACTAAATTTATGACACTAAGCTGGCGCTCCTTGTGGCATCATAAATTAAACTGGCAAAGAGTTTTAGAATCAAAACCAAGGCCCCCTGTCCTCCAGCGAAGGACGGAAAATTAAAAAGTGGAGAATGTAAACGTGGATGTTCACAGACTCGACTCTGTTACCCGACTCTCCGTTTCTAAGCACTGACTTTATTTATTCTTTCTTTTCATATTTTTTGTGTCATTTCTTTTTGGAGGCTGAGCATGAAGGCTGAGACTGTCCTCACAAGAAAAAGATGGCAACAGTTGTCTCAGCAAAATGCCCCAAGATCAACATCTGTTTACTTTCAACTGACAGCGCCCTCTAGTGGCTGCAGGAAGTATGAGTGTTGTCCATCAGGAGCAAAGGAAGAAGTCGGGTCATGCTGTTATAGAGACAGAAAAACTTTCTTTAACCGGTTCGGTTCTTATTAGGAATAAACTTTCCTCCTGTGTGAAAATAATGGTGGATATTTTCTGAGGTGGTACGCAGTTAAAACATTTGAGGAACATTGACCTAATATAAATATAATAACACTGGATAATAAGAACCTATCAGTAATAACACTATTATTAGTGTCATTATTAGCAGTAATATCTCAAACCTGAGCCACTTTTTTTATAATGTGTGTCTTATATCTTTTATCATTGGAATATTATTCCTGATAAAAGATACTGTATATATTGTATAAGTGTGTAATAACTGCAGTACAGTAAATATACAATATTGATGTTGTGTACATTATCCCACATCTCCAAAATCATTCAGAGAAATCTTCTCTTCCCATAAGTTCCTGTATGGAACCATGACTGCAGTGTTCTTGAACCTCATTTTACCTCCCCTTATTGTCTCACCATCACACTCGTGGATGTATGTGTAGCAGACTGATATTGAAACTAGAGGGAGTTTGCGTACCACCTGTACCACAGTTTGAGAACCAGTGTATTAGGTTATTTACCTAAACTACAATATCATCAAGTTCATATTTTACCACACAGCAAAATATTGTGCAAATGAGATTTAAACCAGCAGAGGAGACACATATTTTTATTTTTAATCTTATTTGTTTATTTAACAGAGATAATGATGGACAGTCATTAACTATCCCAGAGTTAGCTAGATAGCTAAATCTCATCCACAGTCCTTGAACAGGCAAATCCACAGAGAATAAACGTTGCATCATACAGAACTAAAAGCAATTTCCATTTAAAACATTACATCATACATAAAAAATGTAATCAAACACTAACGGTCACATGATTGTTTCTCTTTCAGCCCTCATCTCAACAAAGAGGGTGGGACATAATCTAATAGTGTTGAGTATTATGTAATACATATTTTAAACAATCAGAAACAAATATATTGGTAGTATTTGATACTTTGGTGCTCCTGGTTTCTGTCAAAATGAACTGAATGATTGAATTATGGACAATCTAACACATTGTTCACATTGACAACATTTATATTTGTTTAGTTGATCTAAGCAGGTTAGAACTCAAACAGGCGACCCGGTGGGCTTTAAGAGGTTTTATACATCCAAAGATCTTCTATAAAACCAGACCAGGCCTCTAATGGAGACATGCCTTTATTAAGGTTTAGCCACACAAGGCTAATAAAGGAGACCCGCATCTAACTGGAGTTGTGTTTGGCTAAATAACCTCAACAGCGATAAAATAACAACCCACTGTCTTTGGTGGGTTTTTATTTTACCCATGAGTACTGGAAAAAAACATTATTGAATTGGTGCTTTACTGAGCCCGTGATTTTAAATTAAATATATTATGTATAAAAATATCGGAGCCTATAAATGGATTACTATCATGTGTAATGTTCTTAATTGTAAGAGATTACTCAAAGTACTTTTATAGTAATAATTCTGTACTTTTACATAAGTAACATTTTCAATCAAGGACATACTGGATACTTTTAATGGAGTAATTTTAAGAATGCTTCTTTAAACACATGAATTT